CCTGCCACCACTGCCAGACTAGGCTGCATCCCCCGCCAGGCTTGCCCCTCCTACCCCCTTGTCAGCCACCCCTCACTGCTCCAGCCACGGAGCAGAGGGGCAGGGCCAGTCCTGCTCTCTGGAGCAGACCACAGCCCAACCCAGGGCTGCAAAACATGATGGGATGCTGGTGGCCTCTGATTTAACTTGATCCAGGAAGGGGTCTGGGACATAAGTTTCACAAACTGGTTTGACCCAAATCAGTTGAATCTGATACTACATTCAACCAGGTGCATCTTAAACCAGCTTTAGCCATTTTGAAACTGGTTTATGTACACTGAGCTTCTGTTCTGTTGCGGGTTTAAATCAGTTTCTGTGGTTTATGTGCAACTTCATTCCCTAGCCCATCTGTTCTGCCTATGGCAAGAATGCGGAAAACTCCTTTCACAAGAGCAATAATGCTTTATTTATGGTGCTGCCAGGAAGAATGGAAAAGGAACTGGTGTTCAGGAAGCTAAGCAGCAGAAGGGTGAATTTTGCCATATTATTAGCCATCTTATACTTTATTGCCAAGCCAATTATTCAAAAATCCTGCATCATGCCCCTCATTTAATAAATTGGTTATATTTTCACACTATGTTGCCTTCACTGATCAGCAGCTGGGAGGTCTGCCTCTTTGAAAGGAGACTTTCACCAGTAGCACAGGAACTACAGATAAATTTACTGTTAAGTCAATGCTAAACATTTATGGTTTAGAAAGTTCTATATTTAAGAGATTATGGTAAGTTTTCCTATTGAGTATTAATGGGCACATCCAGATGAGCATACATGTCTGCTTCCCTGAGGACAAAACAGCAGTGGCACATATTTGCATTGCTGTCTGTCCCAGGGGAATGCCCCTACATCAGGGGTGGGCAAATATTTTGGGTGGAGGGCAGCTTACTGAGTTTTGGGAAGTCATCAAGGGCTGCAAGACAGGCAGCCCAGGGCAGATAACTATTAATTTTCTTAAGTTTTTAGGGGTCCTGCGGGCTGGATAGAATGGCCTGGTGGGCCACATCTGGCCTGCAGGCTGCATTTTGCCCACCCCTGCCCTACATGCACACTCTTGCATGAAGCAAATTGCCCCAGGTGCGGCAGGGGAGGCTGGGGCCAGCATGTGGGCTGACCCCAGCAGACTTACCTGGGGCCCTCAGGGCCTTCTGGGGCTGCAGCAGCAGTGATCCAATGTACAGGAGACAGGCTCTAGTTTTGCTTTTGCTATGTGGACTGCACCGCTTTTTTAATCTGCATGGTTTTTGATACTGGGATTTTCCAGTATGTAAATTTAGCTCTGCGCTGCAAATATACAGCACAGAGAACCAAATCATGGGCACAGGGTGCATTTTGCAGAGCGTCAAAAGGCCTTGAGGTGCCACAAAGCACACGTGCACACTCATGCAGATGTGTCCAATGTGTATATTCTGGACAACCCCCACAAGCAGATGGATATCTATCTGAAATATGCCCAGAAGCAACAGAAACTTGAAAGCTGCCAAACCAGTACATTTGTTGGCATCCCTGTATTTCCCCACTACAATGCTTTAAAGATGTACCAATTAATGAGAAGGCAATTCAGTTTCAAACTTAAATGAGAACTCTTGCCAAAAAGAGCACCACCTACAGATATGCACACATCTGCACCAAAAACATCTGAACTGTGACCAAACATCTTTCAGGCTACTGATTATTGTCAGTAACACCCTGGCTCACATATAAATCAGGGAAATGGAACTAACAGCTCAGTACAAGTCTCCTCAACCACCCCATCAACTCCTAATATTTCAAGTTCAATTTGTTCTCAGGCTCTGGCATTCAGGCATAGCCTTTCAAATAAAAGCATTGCTAGTCACTCTTATCCATGCTTTTCAGTTTGGAATACAAATCGTGATGCCTGCTTACTCAAAGACAATTTTTTTTGACTACCTATGCTGAGCCCAAGCCGGAATCTGGCGCACTTGGTTCCTTTCAATCCCAGGTCAATATTCTAATTCCTATTACAAATCTTGCTCTGATTGCTACAAAACATACTTGCAAGTAACTGCAGTTCAGTTAGACAGGAAATAAAAGCTACACAAGCCTGGATGACAATTTGTTTTAATTAAAGGCAAAGCTGATTTCAGCAGCTGCAGGTCTTGCACAGACAGACAAAAAACACAAAAAAGCTTACGACACAAACCAGTTTCTGTTGGGGATCCCCTTCCCTCACAACCCCAGACATCGGACAGTGAGATGGGGAATCCCAGCCAAGATTCAGAAAACATTCCAAACACCAGATTCTCATGCAGAAATGGGACTCTGTGGCTGGGATCTGGCACTGTTGGGAGTGAGATGACGAACCTGGTTAGCTTGTCTAGGGTGCAAGAGTCAGTGACAGTTCAAACACTGGAATGTTGCAGCTGCCTGGGTGCACAGCTCAAATACACAAACTGGGAGGGCTGGAGAAGTACAGAGGGTTTTGGTTTATATAACCCCTGGGGCTGGGAGCTTCACGCTTTAGAACTTTCATAAGGAAACGTGTCTTAGAAATGCAACTGAGAACAGTAATGTTGCTAGTGTGCAGCTGTGGGGGGGACCCATCTTATCTGTATAGAAGGGCATTAAATTTTAACCTTTCCTTCTTGTATGTTATTTGGGGCTGCCCAGGCTCCAGTGTCACTGAGGCTCCTGCATGTGCTTTGCTCTGCAGCTGTTTCCCAGCTCAGAGATCCTGAATCATCTCACAAAAACCCCTACTGCTAGCACAGCAAACGGACATTTAGATAGTTTCCATAACTTTCTTGGGACACTAACAGAAATGCCGTCCTCTTGTCTACATGAGATTTCCAGTCTTCCTCCCCCTAATAAATAACAAATAAAATGTTTTATTTCCCCTTCTGCGCCTGTTCATATGTGAACAGCACGATGTTTCCTTCTGTATGTGGGTTACACCACTTATATGTGGTGGCTTGCACATCAGTCTGGAACTAGAAGTTCGGGGCTGCAGCTGTGTGGGAGCCTGTGGAGCTGATGTGTGCCTGTGGGACTGTACATTCCACGCTGCCCAGGCTCACTGTCCTTGTACTCAGTCCTGCTGGACCCCTTGTTACTTGTTCATGTGATGTTGCACATCAGGAGTAAAACTACTAGCATCCAGCAAAGAGGGAAGGGGATGGGATGGCGGGAGAGAAAGAAAAAAAAAACATTGAAAGCATCTACCTACCTATTAAAATGAGTCAGGCTGTGAATGCACAGACTACCCTGCCCTTTTTGTAAGGCTGGTCACTATGCTACTGTAAAATGTACAGGAATCAGAAACATTAATTTAAAACTCCAGAGCAATTACTTGCTTGTCCAGCAGAGCACTGTGATGCCCACTGTTGTCCCCGATTACAGCTCGAACACCTACAGCAGGAAGGGCATTTCACGCTGGAGTCTCTAACCCACACATGGGCTGCTCAGAGCCTTTGAGTGAAAGGTGAAGTGGTGTCAAGTGCCAGACTCTCCTTCATGAAACTCCTAACCAGCCCAGGAGATAGATCCCCACTCTGTCACCACCCACCTCTGACTGGAGCAGCAACTGGGGCTTTCACTGCTACACACTGACTACAAAGTACGTCTGTGTATGGAAGAATTCAGTGTGATCTTACTACTGAGACAGTAATAATAATAAAGATGTTTAGGAATAATTTCAACTACATTCCCAGTCAGCAAAGCAATCATTAATGGATTCCTAGTTTATCTCCCCAAAAGAGGAAAAGAATTGAGTTCTCATTGGCTTCTCCCATCTGCCCTTCATTCTCAGCTCTTACTTCCCATGTGGCTGGGGACATGCACGATGGAGAAGGTGAGAGGCGGTGATATCAGGTTACTGAGTGAGACAAACAGCAGTTCCTCCCTCCCTCAAGAGAGCCTGGGGAATGGGAGAGTTCCTGATGTTGTTGTTTGTTGCACTGCAGACTTGTGCACACTCAGTGGGTTGGTGGAGCACTTACGCCCTCCTGACAGCAAGGAACAGAAGAGAGGGCTGCCACCTGCACAGGACTGTGTGGGCCAGTCCTGCAAACCCAACATGCCATGGTTTATGGAGCCGTCGTTTGCAAGGGTCACCACCTTATTCTCAGTGCGGTGGATTCATGGTGCCTTGTCCACGTTGCTGCTTCTGCTTCTGCTGCATTAGCAGCTGCTCCAGGGCTGAAGGTCCAGGATGCATCATGGAGCTGGACCAGATAGACTAAAAAAATAAAAATAAATGAAAGGGTAGCAGTAACACCCATTTAGTTGGTGCTTGGGTGGAGAGGAAGGACTTCTATACATTCTCCAACCAGAATATTTATACCATGCTCTTCACTCTAATATCTGAGATCCAGATCATTAACAAAGCACACTGGTAAGTAAAAAAAAACCAAAACTCTTCCTTCAATAACCCTCTCTCTTCCCATGTTGAACATGCAACAGAAATAATCCGTAGCCTAAATTTTAGAGACACCAATATTCAGTCAACCTACACCTTTTCCACATAACAGTCTACAACAGAGGCGGGAAATTATTTGGAGCAGAGGGCCACTTACTGAGTTTTGGCAAGCCATTGAGGGCCACATGACAGGCAGCCAGGGGCAGATAAATATTAATTTTCTGAATTTTTTAGGGGCCCCACAGGCAGGATAGAATGACCTGGTGGGCTGCATCTGGCCCATGGGCCGCATTTTGCCCATCCCTGATCTACACTGAGAAGAGATTTTCACAAAGCTAGTTGAAACCATAGTTGTCTCATGTCTGGTTCACTGTCTACCTAAATGGATCTTGGTGCAGGAAACCCACAGCTCCTGGTATTAATTTAGCTCTCTGGTATTTGGAATATGCCCAGAGAGGACCGCCTGAACCCCCACTGTGCACCAGATGGACCTTCACTTTTGAGAGGATTCTTCAGCAATGGACGATCCCGCTCCACCCGAAGAGGACTCCCGTGATGACTCTATATGAACTGAGACACTTTTCTTCGAACCTCTTCTTCCACCATTGCAACGGGTTTGCGCGCATCTATTTTCTTTCTCTCTGAGCGTCACAAATCCCCTTCCTACCATTCCCCCCTCCCCCAGGCTTAGTTGGCTAACATTGCATCTCCTGTAACCTAGTTGCGTTCCCCTCCTCACCCCCATCCCTCTGTTAGTCCCTGGCTCAGGCAATATGTATTTCCCTACAGGCTATGTCATCTTTTTTGGATTCACAATCCTAAACATCTACTAATAAAAGTCAATCTGTACTTTGCCTTATGTCCCATGACCAGATCTCCCAACTTCACAGATTGGCTGGAAACAGGTGCATAACAAATATCTGTTCTGTCCTCTGCAAAGTTCAATATACCTTGAGGCTCTCCATGAGCACAGCGGAGGAATCCTCCATGGAGGGACCCTGGGCAGCCCAGGTGCCACTAGGAGTGCTGGTCTGATGCCAGCTGCTTTCTGAAGAGGAAGATGTTGCCGGGAGATAGTCCAGGCCAAATCCTCCCATTGCTAAAATGAAAATAGAGGACAAGTTAAAAATGACCAATCACAAAAAACACACTGCAAAGCATCAAACTCCAACTTGAGTGCGACAGCTGGCTCTGTCTCAACACTGAAACCCAACACCTGCCTGGCTTATCTGTTTTCCAACGGTCTGCAATCCTTCTGTCCCTGTTGTCTGGAGTCCCAATAGGTCCAAAGTTGGAGAAAGGAACAGAGTTGTGATTATGAGTTGGAGGGGAGCTTGGCAAGCTGCTAGGGTTGGAGGAGTGAGGGGACTGGCTGGCTGGTGTTGAATGGTCTATTGAACATAAAACAAGAATAAAAAATGTCAAACAAATAGGAGCATTATGAACATCTGAGACTTAACTCTACTATAGGTATTAGCTATCATCATAGGATTTTTCTCAATGGAGCCAGTCAGTTTATTACTACTTATTTCAAGATTTAAGAACCTCCCAATTGCAATGCAGCACATACACAGTGATGATTTTAATTTAATAACCCAATACACTGAACACACAAATCCTTATTTAAAACACAGGAACTTTCCTAAAAAGTCCCACAAAGATATCTTGCTAACCAGTAGAACCAAATTCTCCAGATTTGTTTCAGATACTATTGGGGTACATTTTTAGTCTTGATCTCAATTTACAAATTATTAGTTTATTCAGTAGCCTGAGAAAAACATTTTTATATAAAAATGCTTTTCCTTAAAACCAATTCTTTAGTCTTTCTGAATGAAGCTTAAAGTTCAAGTTCAGCAAGTTTGCAAAAAAAATCCGAAAGGAATTCAGACCAGCAGTTAATGCAAAAAAGGGTCATGGGTGAGTGTGGCATGGCAGCATATCTATTTGGACAGAACACAATACTTCGTACAAGAGATCTAGGTGTATTAAAGTAGTGCAACAGGTAGCTGGCTCGTGGGAAAGTATATCTTAAATAAAGATGCAAGGTGACAGAAAACAGATAGGAATGTCTTAACATAAATCTTGCCAAAATAAAGACTATGCAATTATACTGTTGTCGACTGAGAAAAATCTCTTCCGTTACATCTCACCTAGCAGTTCTTGCCTCTGTTGCACAAATCTCAGCTTAAGAACTGTTCTGCAGCTGATGCAAAAGAAATAAAATGGTATGCTGATCTCTTGGCTTCAGACCTGCAATTTCTTTAAAATTAAATCCTTTTCTTCCTTTGCCTGGGCCTTGATTTGCCTTCTTTTTATTTTAAAGCGTATGACTACATACTTTCTCCATGACCCCTTCAGACAAAATTTCCTTTTCCTTTGAAATACCTTGTGAACTTAGTCGTCCTTGACTTTTTAGGACCAGGATGGAAGGAACACGGGTCTGTGCATCTTTAGGACTATTCAACAGAGACTAGAATTTCCTGCCCTTCCTACTTCTTAAGGATTTGACTCTTGTCAAGGAAGTACAATGAAGTAGCGTGCAGGTGTACTCAAGATAATTCTAGTACTAGAAACAGCATATCTGTTTGCATGGTGCTTTATCTGGGCTAGTATGACCAGAGTGACTATAATTATTGGGGGGAGGGGGAGGAAAAGGGGGAGGGGCCTGCGTACACATGTACATGAGTTGGGGCAGTATGCGACAGTGCACAGAGCTAGAGCACCTGTCAGGAGCACAGTGCTTTTCTCACCAGAGCTGGGGCTGCAGGTGGGATGCTGCGCAGGCTCTGTCTGATTCACAGCTTTGGACCCGTTCCAGCACCTGCATCCTGGCCATGCACCCCTGGGCCCAGTGGACACAGCCAGCCCCAGCCTTGCATCCCTGTCCCTGGTTAGGGTAGGGCCAGGCCAGGCCAGGCCAGGCCAGGCCAGGCCACCTGCATCAGGGCTGCAATATGGTGGCCTGGCCTCGCAGCGCATGGCGCTGGGATGGGGCCAGAGCCACAAGTCAGCATGGGGCAGACAGAGCCCATGTAGTACCTCTAGCCCACAGCACCAGCAAAAAAAGGCACCATTCTTCCTAATGCATCCCAACAACTACTCTGGGCCTACCCATAGCCCCACAC